CCGTTTTCGTTTCTTTCTCCCAGTCCATGTCGTCCCATGATGTCTTCATATCCAGTGTTGTCCATGCCAACCTTGGCATTCAGGTCTCCCATAAGAATCGTCAAATCCTTTGGTGAACATTTCTGGACGATTGACTGCAGCCTTTCGTAGAATTGATCTTTAACGTCGTCATTGTAGTCATTGGTAGGTGCATAACATTGGATGACGTTCATTGTAATGTCCTGTTTCTTTGTTTTGAAGGATGCTTTGATGATCCTGAGTCCATGAGATTCCCATCCTATCAGTAGCTTTTCTGCTTGTTTGGACAGCATCAGTACAAATCCTAGTATGTGTGAAGCATTTTCCTCTTCATGACCAGAGTATAACAGCAGTTTTCCTGAAGCTAATCTCAGTTGTCCTACCTGCGTCCTATGCGTTTCACTGATTCCAAGCATCTCCAGGTTGTATCTTTTCATTTCTGCCGCAACTTGAAATAGTCTTCCAGTCTCCCACTATGTTCAAATGTTCCATGTACCTAAAAAATGGTTGCTCTGGTTTTGATAAGAGGCATCAGCCCCGTGACTTCCGAGGGAACTCGGCTTTCATCACGAGACGTCATAATTCTTCCTCCAACTCCCAGGGCAGAGTTAAAATGGTTTGAATTACTTTTTCTGGTTAGCGTTTTTTTGGCAGGTTGGTTTTCGACGGAATGGGGTCGCCAACCCGATGTCCAACCCTCCTCCTTTATCCGGGCTTGGGACCGGCAGTAGCCCCTGAGGTTCTACTGTCGGAGTTCGTCTATATTATACCAATCAAAAATCTCTTGACAGTAGGTACTCGTGCAAAGGAAGATAGCAGTTTCATTTTCAAAGGAGCCTGTGAATAGGAAATTTGTAGATAAGTATCAATGTCAGACACTGCGTATTATAACAAAGACCGTTGACGATTCCAGAAGATTAGGACTTGAGAGAGCTCAACGAATGGATGCATCAGTTCATGTTGCCATATCACACATTAGCACAGAGATGTAATTATCAATTCAAACCCAATAGTAGAAGAGGTAGTAAAGGTATTCGAAGTAAGGTTAGGATTAGAAGATATCAGTCAAGAAGTATGATTCAGTGAGATAAGTTTAAAAAGTAAAAACTAGAGGTGTTGAAGAATCCAGAAGGTTAGGATTTGAGAGAACACAAAGAATAATCTCAGTCAGTCAGTTAGTCAGTCGCAACGTAGAACTTCGTACGTAAGTACAATGCCTTTGAAAGAAACTGGATTAAGAATAGTCAGAAAAGTAAAGTGACTACAATGTTCAAAGAACAGCTGCTTAAGGTCAGTCACATATGGTTTATTGTCGGTAGACTGACGTATCACTCCAAGTGTCGACCGTTCGTAAACCCTCTATTCTCATTGTGTGAAAACCGTGAAACTGCTGGCTATCTGAAAGAAATACTTAACTCTTATAACACTAATGTGCTACGTCTCCCTTAGATTACTAACTTCTTGGTTTACCTTTTAACGCACTCTTCAATCAACCTATCTAACATGACATAACCTGAAAAAGTGAATGTTCCAGTCAAGTCAGCCTGATAGACAAACCTAACAATTAAAACAGAATAACAGTGACGCTGTAAAGAGACAATGATGTCATGTACAGAGAAAAAAAAGCGAATTGTCAGCAAAGATGTAACATGAGCACATGTATATTTTGGCTGATATCACACACAATCGATAGTTATTTTATTGAATTTAAAGAAAATATCACTTCAAATGTCTATTTAATCACATAAAATATCTTTATTCAATAGTAAAATAGGACGAAATGACGTAAGAAATTATTTGACAGATTTTTAGAGTTAACCAATCCACTAAATTTCATTGAAATCATGAATCGATTCATGTTAGATCACTCACTCACTAGGAACCGATGATTTTCAATTCGATTCTTGCTAGAAGGTCGTGGATATGCACTGCTTATGAGTTTCATACCAGAAAGGAACGACCGTCAAGTGCTGGCAGGTTTCCAGAGGTGGTCTATCACTGGTCGATTCATGATTTCGATAAAACTCAACAATCGCCACAGCCCTATAATAATAGTGAACTTATTACTGATCACTGATTCCCACTGGATCACATTGTCTAACACTGCTCTACTGTCTTGTGAATTCAACCCCGTGAAATAGACTCGAGTAGTGGTCTGCTTCAGACAATAAGTTGATGTTAAAATACATGAATAACTTAAACATTGACTTATCACGAACAACAAACAAATAGATGTTGTCACGGATATTTACTGAACACTCCTTTTGTTATTATTATTATCATCATCATCAGAGAACCAATGTCATATTCAGTTTGGGATTATTATTTTTCAAAACCTAATCACATGTTGCGTCACAATATTCCCGCACAAACGCATACACAAAGTTACATGGATTTCGCCACATCATACTCCTCAGAACCAAATCGACCGTGTCTGTATCAATAAAAAATTAAGAAGGACCATGGAGAATGTGAGAACCAAGTGAGGAGCTAACATAGCCTCAGATCACCGATTGCTGGTCGCGAAACTGAAACTGAAACTCAAGAACCACTGGACAGCGGGGCAGACAACATCACACAAGTTTAATACGGCCTTTCTTCGGGATACCGTAAAACTCAACGAATTCAAGATAGCTACCACCAACAGGATCCACGCCTTGCTCGATATACTCAATGGAGAAGAAACAACCTTGGGAAACAATTGAAATGGGATCAAACAGGCGATCACTTCGACTTGTCAGGAGGTTCTGGTTCATACACCATTACAAGTAATGGATCTCTAGTTGTACTCTTGCAAAAATTGAAGAAAGTAGGAACAAGAAGGCTGCAAGAGAGGGGAAACTTGAGAAAATTGTACGAAACAACAAAGAAGCTCGCCGGAAACTATCGTAGACTGGAACGACCAGTGAAAAGTAAGGATGGCAAAATAATCAGCAACACTGAAGAACAGAAGAACAAGTGGGTAGAGCACTTTAAGGAACTCTTGAAAGAACCAGCTACACTGAACCCACCCAACATCAAAGCGGCATCTACGGACCTTTCAATCGATGTTGGCCCACCAACAATTGAAGAGATTAGTATGGCCATCAGAAAAGTCAGCAGGACCAGACAACATTCCAGCAGAGGCAATGAAAGCAGACGTGGAAGCAACTGCAAAATTACTTCACATTCTCTTCACGAAGATTTGGTATGAGGGACAAGTACCACCAGATTGAAAAGAAGGATACCTCATCAAAATGCCAAATACGAGCCGGCCTTCGCAGACGACTTGGATCTTCCATCGTACACGCAACAACAAATGCAAGACGACCAGTGTATCAGCAGCCTGTAAAGCAACATGTCTCAACATATATAAAGGGAAAAGCAAGATTCTACGATGGAGATGCCTTGCAGGGCATTTAAACCTTCACAAATCTGGTCAGCATCATCGACAATCAAGGTGGATCCAATATAGATGTAAAATTGTGGATCGGCAAAGCAAGTATACAACAAGTATACAACATCTGGAACTTAAAACAGCAATCAACAAACATCCAAGTCACAATTTTCAGTAAAAATGACAAGACAGTTCTACTGTATGGGGCAGAAACTCGGAGGAATACAAAAGCCATCATCCAAAAGATACACGTATTCACTAACAGTTTCCCACACGAAATGCTGAGGATTCGTTAGCCAGATACCATCAGCAACAACTTACTTTGGTAGAGAACAAACCAGATTCCAGAGTAGCAGGAAATCATGGAAAAGCGGTGGAAAATGATGGGACACACACAATGCGGAAAGCACGCAACTGCGTCACAAGACAATCCCTCACACGGGAAAGAGGAAGACCAAGAAACAAACTACGCCGAGAAACCGAGAAAGATAAGAGAGGAATGAACAAATATTGAACAGAATTGGAAAGGGAAGCCCAGGACGGAGTTGGTTGGAGAACACTGGTCGGCGACCTATGCTTTATTGTTGGGTGACAGGCGTAAGTGAGTAAGCGATAATGTATAAAACGAATTATCCTCAAGTGATGACCACCTCACCTATCGAGGCAATGCTCGAAAAATTGTAGGTTTCCACTTGGTATCAAAAGGAGTTCTGCTATCCGGGATGACCACGGCCGTCTCAGTGAGAATCACCAAAAAGAGACTCGAAAAACGAGCACTCATCTTCCTCTTGAATCAGGTGTGTCTGATGTGATATCTTTGTGTATCTAGAAACCCTACTGGCCTGAAACAAGCGTACCCTTTCAATCCACAGAACATACAAATTCATAAATAACTGTTGACCGACTAGAATTAGTACCTTCAAGTGTCTAGAATACAGTCCAGTGGGCACTACTAATGCCTGGAACAGAAAGAACAAGAATTGAGTGAAAAGAAACTAAATGGTTTGTACTAGCTCGTGTATAAGATATTGGATATTGAAATCAGTACTTCTAAATATAATCTCTACAAGTCTTTGTTCACGGATCAAATGTTAAACAGTATTATTACAACGAACCAAGAAACTGTAAGAATGGACAGTTAAGAATGACACATGGAACAGGGAGTAACGCATGGGATATTTTGTAAACGATCATAAATGAATAACACATTTTAGCACTAGTAAAGAATAATATTGTTTAAAAAAGAATAATGAGAGTTGTGCAACCTGTATGAAAAATATAAGTAATGGAGATGATAGAAAATCTGTACATAACTTAGGCTGTTTGCGACCAGTTCTACTGCCCTTCCACAGTGGACGTGTCATTAAAGAAATAAGATGGGTGTTTTTTCGGATTATATGATTTAAAAGCTATGTCGGATAAAATTTCTAAATTCTCTCCAGGAGACTGAATAAATTGCGGTACAGCGTGAAACTTTCTAGTTTATCGTTTTGTTATTTTACTGGAAGTTTTGTTTGAAATGTTCGATATGTAATTTTGACATGGCTACAGCAAGCATCTTTTCAAAATCATAAACAACACATTAAGTTTTAGATAAGCTGCCGTTATGGATATTGACACTAGCAAATATTACATAGAAAGTATTCTCTTATTTTCTCATTGAACATACATTTTTTGAAGATGAACAGATCCCAGAAGATGACAATGCCTCTTCTATTGTATCAGTTAGAATTGAAGACTTACCACATTCATCGAAAGATGATGGACTAGACCCGCTGATTTTAAGAGTTAAAGAGACGATTACTGACTCAGAGGCAAAGGTAATTCCTGAAACCTCGTGACTTTGCGATTTAGGACAAGTGCAATGAACTCTCTCCTAATGTTAATACGCAGTTTTCTCCTCCTTCTGTTGATCAGTTTCTCAGAAACTACCTTCAAGAAAATGGGTTTACTGAGACTCTCAACATTTATCAAGCTGAATGGTTTATTGTCTTTTGTAATTTCGATTTTTAGGTTCAAGTTCTTGCACAAAGGTTTATTAAATGAAGAAGCTGCTCCAGTTTCTGATATTTATATAGAAAACAATGAACTAAGGAATATAATTAAAGATATAAGATCGGAAAACCTGACTTTAAAAACTTCTATTTCGTAACTGCTACCTGCATTTCAGCCTTTATTTATCTTTGTGTAGAAAGTTAGATGACGAACTGAAAAAAGTTAAAAATGAACGTGACTATCACATGATCAAGCATAGACAAACCTTGCAAGATAAGGAAAAGCTACACTGTGACATAAAAAGGTATTCTGGCCAGTTTTCAACCGTTTTCATGACTGCATGTAGTTCAGATTGTACTGCATATTTTTTTGAACTCCCAGTTATCCTATAACACTACTTGTTTTCATGTGATTTCTTTGCCTTGAACACTTTCTTGCACGGTTTGTATTCTCTCTAAATAACAAAGCCACGTGACTGTAGAACTTTTCATAAAAGATGCCAGACTTATTAGTAAATGTATGGTTATTGTAACGGCAAATGTAAAAATGTATTTCATAGGATTTTTTGTGGGTGACTTTAATAATACTTTGAATTCTGTGAAAATAAATTTTCCGCTGGACTTAAATTAACATTTAAAGAAACGAGCATTAAATTTCGAATCTTCTTTTTTCCCTCTCAAAGTTCATATCTGTTTCACTACTTGTATTCTCCCCATCTGACTGAGATTCGAGAAGACTAGTTACATTTTATAATAAAACAAGTACTTAATTCATAAGATCTGAAAATCATTTAAGTCAGCCAATTTAGTGTTCAATAAAATGATGCTCAGATTTATTCAACGTGGAGTCAAGCATAACTTGTATCTTTTATAATCTCTCTTTTCAACAAAAAAACATGGTAGTAACATATTGGTTGGAATATTGAACCTTCTACCAGTAGGTAATAACTTTCAACATCATTTAACATAGTTTAATTTGACTATTCAAGTAGTATCAGCATCTTTACTATCTACAATGTGGCTTAAATTTTATATGTTAAACAGCTTACTTTATTTCGGTGCTAATCTTGTTACGCGAGAATCTAACTGAAACTTTAGGAAATAGGATTAAAACAACTATCTAATACCTACTAACCTTATATGATTTTTCGTTCACCAGATCACCGGTGTTCAGCTTGGCATAGATATTCGTTAGTACTATGCCGCATTAGCACAAAGAGATGAAAATAACTTGACGAATAACGAAAGTGCACAATTATGAGGGCTAAACACTACTATTATAATTATAGCATATAAAGCTGAGAGATATGTATGAAATATTGCTAGAACCCACGGTAGAGAGTGAATTTATCTGCATCAGTCTGAACGGTTATGAGCCTTTTCACACAAAATCTTCAACCAGTAATCATGAGTGTCACATGGACCCTGAACAGGTGATTTGAATTTACTCCTACGTCTATAACTTAGAGTTTATTAGTCCATGGACCGATATTTTATCTTTGTTTTTCATCCTTTGGCCTAATTCGAACTTATTTTTAAACCAGAAAATATCAACCATAGCGTCAGGTGAGGATTATATATACACCACACACGTCCTAGCCACCTAAATAGATGGAAACTTTCAACACGATCATTGACTGTCTTTGCCCAGTACCTTACGTCTGACATCAGCATTACTTAGTTGGTCATATCAATTAAGAATATATGTATCACCTACTTTGATAGAGCATGTTTCACAATCATAAAATAATATGGAGTGCACTGCTGAGTAGAGTATACGCCCATTAGTTCGATTAATTGTGGCGTACCTATTCCACAAGAGAAATAAGCTCACAAAAATCGAGTGATTTTTTTTAATCTTCCTCTAAATATATCTAGCTCATCATGGGAATCGCTTTAGTTATTATGATTATGTTAACACAACTTTTGATTCGTAATAGATTTGTTTTAATTTCAATATTTTTTCTGAACCTTAATTAGAGTAAAAGAACATTATGCTGAATATGAACCAATTTTACGATTATTACGTCAAAAATATGAGACAGCTATGAAAGAGAAAACATTGCATAGAATTGAACGTGATAGAGCTATGAATCAAGTTGAAGGACTACGACATGCTTTAAATTCATTGCAAAAATTAGGTATCACATCAAATGATACAAACGATATTGAAAATATTGATCTGGATCAAAATATCACTGAGAAAAAATTAGAACATACAATAAACAGACTGAATAAAATAGAATTAGATCAAAAAAGTAAAAAGAATTTTTTAAAATCAGAAAAATCTGATATTCATGCCAAGTTTGGAAATAATTTAAAAAAGGTAAGAGGATGTATAACTAGACTTTTTTTGGACAAGACATTTATTGAAATCGATTAGTTATTATCGTAATTTTATATCTTCTCTTTTGATTTCTTAAACAAAAATTGCACCAAACGAATCAGTTTGAACTTAATTTCAATTGTTTAAAAGTTTGATGACAATGTATACTACTGAAATACCTATTATCAGTAGTCTATTATACCAACTGATATAATACAGATGAATAAATAAATAACATGGAGCATAGATTAAAATACTGACTAACATGAACGTTTAAATGGGGAAGAAACAACATGATACGATATAACAATTGATAATTTATTTCCCTAGAGAGACCAAGGATTCTTAAAAAGCAATCCTAACTTTTCATGATTTAATATTGTCTCACTTAAAGTGTAAACAAAAAGGTAAATTGGATAAAAGTAATGAGCTCATCTTTGGTAAGAAGAAAATTACAGCATAACGTTAGGGAGAACAGCGGACCTTCGGTTTCAGACTCGTACGTTTGGTCTCTAGATCTTTAGGTCGCTAGTGATTAACGTCAGAGGGAAAGTTTTAGAATGCTGTTGAACAGCCGTATCTAGTCGAGTTCAAGCGTATTGACTGTGAGTAAGTTGGTCATCTATAATCAGTGGAAGGTGGAGGCGTTATTTCCTCACTTGATTGATGCTAGACGTGTACATCAATGGACTCGTGTTCAGTGGTCAATGAATAGCATCAACATTCCCGAGTGTGACGAAAGTTCATGAGTTCGATTACCGATTTCAGGGTA